ACATGAAATATTAAGAAAATAATGCAGACTCCAATATTAGAGCCTCATTGTCTTTTATGATGGACTCTAAATGTTCTTCTGTAAGTTCACGTGGAGCATTTCTCATTAAGCTTTCAAAATCAATGTCTCTTAAAAGCTGAGGCTCGTGCGCCTCATTATGAAGCCGTTGACAGGAGGACACTTAGAGCTATTCAAATAAATAAACAGTTAAGGAGAAAAAAAATCCTTTTTAAAGGGTGCTTTACCAACAAACGAGATTATTTTCTATTTAAAGTTATTTTTTAAAATGTCGTTTCAAATCAAATATCGACATGTTCTGTGTTTTTGTGTTCAGTCGTTTCTTTTTTAATTTTTTATTAATGAAATGTTTGTTTGTTTTTTTTTAAACGTTTTTTTTTCTGCCAAAAGTTTAAATGACGATGCACTGATTCAAATAAACGTCAAAATGTTAAACACAGTTCCAGACACGCATATAGGCTAATAGCCAATAAGCATTCAAAAATCATTTTAATTATTATCATTATTAATATTATTACAGAAAAACTTGAGTAATCCAGTAAAATATTAAAATATATACCCTTAAATTTTGATAAATGAATTTAGATACCAAATTGTCCAAACGTTTTCGACTTTCTGCTCTCCTTTGCGCACTTTACGCACATTTCAACTTCAAATTGGAGCTGAATTTACATCCTTGATTTAAACGAATAAACTGTCATCTGCAGATTTAAATGAGCAAATAACTCAACTCTGGGAAAGTTTTTCAATAATATCACCTGTCTGCAGAATCCTTGACTAATTTTAATATCACTACACACCCATTAAAGCTCCTGTGAGGAGACTGTCTTTGGTTATGAAATGGACTGATATTAAAACTGATGAGGCCGAGCCGGTGTCCCACAGCACACTTCGTCCTAAATGTCCATGAACTAGGTGTAAGGTGAGAGTTACCTTTGGCTGCTGACAGACAGCGGGAGGAGATATTTTGCTTGTAAACAGAGCAGGGTCAGCGCAGATAGATAAGATACACCGCTGTTTACCAGATCACAACGATTTAACTGAAAAGGTAAATTTCCCTACAATAGCCTCACTATCACAAAATATTTTACCATCATGTGAGAGAGGATATTACAGGAGTGAAAGTAATGTGAAAAATAACCCAGTGTGAACTCTACGCATGTGCCAAACCTGTTGTTTGGACCTCTCTTGGTCACAGATGCGTGAGCTGTCTCTGTGTGTTTTCATACCGAGGAGTGGTTCTTTCTCTCTGAAGGTGAGTTTGACTGTTGTGACAGTCGCGGTGAAAAACAGAGCTTGAATAAAAGGGAATCACCTCCGCGGGCTTTATTGAGTCATGTTGGAAGACCCTGGACTCTTCTGGGCTTCGGTGTGGCGCCAAACGCCCCAGTCTTCTCACAATTAAATTTGCATCGAAGATGTCAGAGGTAGAATTATGTTATAGTTAATATAATGGAATCATGAGTTCGTGTGCGCTCTGGCTGTGGTGAGCTGTCAAAACACTGAACCTTTGGTGATGACGCAGGCCTTCAAAAAAGCCGTCCTCTCGCGATGACACCACAGATCGATGAGTTATATGATAATGTTCTCGTAGGAGGGACAGGGTGGACATGATCGTCAACATCTCTCTGTAATGGAGACTCGAGTTGGTCCGCAGGCGCTGCTCTGGGGCTCTCGGGAATATGTCTGTGTAAACCAACAAGCTCACTCCAAAACAAGGAAGAGGAGCCGTGTCTCATTTTATTCAGGAGACTCAGTGGAGCTGCAGCCAAGCTCTGGAAAAAGCTCTGGACTTTCCTCTTTCTGTCAGGTGCCCCCCTAAAAACCTTAAAACGTGTTTTTTTTTTTGACCAACGGTCGTCTCTGCATTGTTTTCAATGGCAGCTCTGATGACACTTCCCGTCTTTGTGGATCATGTTTCCTACATGAACCGGCATCACTTCAGTACATGCGGCAGTAGCATTAAAGCAGGACTGGAAAACTGCATTCACGTGCGTAACTACGCAACTTTATTGTGCACTTGCACTTTTTGTGTGGTTCTTAAAACCAGAACTTTTATTTAAACTCCATTATTTTTGTGGGGAGTATTGGACTTAAAGTGCACCAGCTCCTGATCAAAATATCGCTAAGAACACACACGCGGTCATCACCTGCAGGGCAGCCAGCTGACTGAATGATGTCTGATCTACACTAGAAAAAAAATCGGAATTTCTTCCAAAATAATTTGTCCATTTTCTTATCAAATTATATCCTAAACTTCAATGTAATCTAAACAGGTATGATTCAAGATCTATGAAGCCAGAATTTTATGTGAAAAATTAATTATCACACCTTGTTTCGAGAAACTTATCTTGGACATTTTGCTTGGTGCATTTTTACGCATTACAAACAATTAAGTTCTTATTTTTGGTATGTAACAACAATCCTTCCTGTAGCCAGATATGACCTCAGCGTACAGGGACCATCTACAAAGTTCAATACAGACAAAAGACGCTGCAAAAATGTTCAGTAACTTCACCATGGATATAGGTGCAGAGCAAATATCACTTCACACATTTATACAACCATTACTTCGAGAAAAACTGCTCCTACAAAACGTGAGGGGCATATCTCACTACCTCCACACCAAGCACCATGGGTACTTTTTACTTCAACTTTATAAACATAAAAATAGTTTTGCGTCTAAGAAAAATGTCATTGACGTACTTTGACTACAGCACTTTCCACTCCTGCACCGTTTTCTGCTTCATTGGCAGCGCCCGTTTTGCTCTGAGGTACTAAAAGACAATTCAACGAACTGTCATAGTGGTAAAGGAGGATGTTTTTGTAATGGTTGTTCTTGTTTTCACTGATATTTCGCTGGCGCCAAATCTTTCATTGTACTAAATAACAGTGAAACAGCGTTTTGGGGTAAATGTTGTGATAACTTCCATTTTTCATCAAACCCAAATAAAAAGTTAGAGTGCATCTCATAAGACCTGATTAAGATATTTTGCAGCCCTCAATCGTGAGCTCCCAAAAGTTTTTCTTTTAATAACGTTTATATAAATCTAGAGAATGGTTGATGGCATGCATTGCTTTTTCTCCAAGTGCTTATTCAATAAAAAATAGGCTACATGAATAAAAATCAAGTGCTTATCAGGGAAGAAAATGAAGGTCTTCAGCAGGACAAAACAACAATAAAGGATAACTGCCTATAGTGTTTGTTACTGCCAAATGAAAATTTATCAAAGCACTATATTCTTCCTATTATTATAATCCGCGGCGTGTGTTCCAGTGGTATAAATCAGTGTTAAAGTAGGAGAGACTGGAGCACATTAGCCTGCTTTCAAAATCCCGGAAGTGCTGCAGGATATATTATTTTAAAGCGTCCTCAACAGTTCACAGTTTACTGTTAGATACAGACCCAGAATATATTACTGACAAGTTTGAAAAGTATCAACCAAACAGGAGCCAAAGACCGGGATTACTCAGACTAGCTGGCACCAGAGTAAACACTGAACTCTGTGAAGCAGAGTCTGCTCCCTGAGACTGTTCATGTGCTCCAAATTTTAAAAGCCTGTTCTTAAAATCAGATCATAAACATTCATCCTTAAAAGTGCTTTTGTATTAATGTTGCAACATGCCCTTTAATTTGATGACAGTATAATTGAAATTTGCTTGCACTGCACCAAAAGGATGTTTATGTAATTTTGAATATTATTGTTTTTAAACTGATCCCAATTTAGTCTGAACTTAGGCTCTGTTAAATGTTTATCCTCATTTTGTTGCAACAAGCTTTGTATTATTTTATTCTGTGTGAAGCACATTGAAAAGTGTATGAAATTTGTTATATGAATAAAATCACCTTGCTTTGTGTTATTAATAGGTATTATTTATTTATTTTTTTAAGTAGTGGCTGATTTCGTGCGCGTTTTAATTTTCCCAGGACGCTGCGCCAAAATATCCAATATTTTACACGTCAACTGAAAAAACTACTGCGCAAAACATTTCTCCAACCGTTTTCTTATGAAGGTTTTTACTTGAATAACGACTGTACATTTCAATTTATGAGTTTTTACCTGCGTAATATATTTAAAGCCTAATCTATCTGTTTTGATCGCCGCCTCACAATGGTCCTCAAAGCCTAAATGCGTAAAACAGATTACTTCATGACTGCCGTGTTACTTTAACAAATACAAGTTTATTAAGAAATTCACAAACCTAGAAAAGAATGAAAAGTGCTAATTAAAATGAAACATGGCCCCAACATGGATGAGACAATAGAACTAATCACGTTTATAAAAATAAGAATCACAAAGATGAAGAAAACCTGGCACTGCTGGCGTCATGAGGGACGTTTTATCATACAAAAGGGATGAAGAAATATGACAAACCCTGAATGGATTTTTTTTTTTGGAGCTTCATGGATCTCTGACCAAAATTTGAACTTTTAACCCAGCAGAGTTCATGACACGAGGTGAGGTTTGAGCACGCGGGCCTCACTCACTGAGAGTTGGTCAGGAGGCCAAAGTGAGCTCTGATTGAATTACAGAAAAACACTCACTTAGTTAGGACGTCTTATGGTCTGGTTTCATGTGGTATTAGTGAAGATGAGCCGCGCGTAAAAAGAGATCTTTACACACAGCAGTCACACACTACTGAAGCCATTTCAGCAACGTCCATCCCCGTGAGAATGAGAAAGCACTTTTATGTCAAAATAAGGCCATCAGTCCAAATGTGAAACGGGCGCGTGAAGCTGCTCCCACAGATGTGCCACCTGATTTGTCTTGGTGTCTTTTAACCTCCAGAAAACATTTAATAAAACTCCCTTAACATCAGCCTCCCAATCGGCCTCAGCTGGACCCGGACAGCTCGTCAGAAAGGTCTCTCTTTCTCTCTCTCTGTCTGTCTTTGAAAAATACTCTTGGTTCTGTTTTGAAATCACAGGAATCAGCTCTCACACCCAGAGTCCTCGTTTTACACACATCGTTCGGTTCATTTTAAATATCAATCCTCGTGTGTAACGCCGAGTGTTTGGTCTCGTGTTCCCAGTAAGAGCAGTGCATCATGGAGAGCTCCGCGGGCTGGCGGGAGCACGCGAACTGAAGGCCCGCTCCGTTACTGGAGGAGACCGGGGGCGGCGCCGCGGTGGCCGGGCTCAGCTGCTGAGCATGATGGGGATGCGCCGGGTGATGGTGGTGACTCATGCCGTTGTAAGAGTTCACCATGCTGGGCAGCGCCATGCTCTGCACACGGGAGTAAGGGTTATACGATGAGGGGGCTGAAAGACCCTTCACGTTGACTGGACTCACGTTGCCGCTCGCCATCTGACAGGACGTGTAGGACATGGGAGTGGGCGGCTGGCCAAGCGACCAGGAGTTGTTCATGAAGCTGGACTGCAGGTACTTGGGCGGGGACAGGTAGCCGTAGCCGTCTCCTCCGAACAAGGATTTCCCCGGCTGGAAGTGCGTCGGCGGAGGTCTGAACGGCCGCTTCATCCTGCGGCGCCTCCTGTAGTTCCCCTTCTCGAACATGTCCTCACAGGCCGGGTCCAGCGTCCAGTAGTTCCCCTTCCTCTCCCCGCCGCCCTCCCGTGGGACCTTGATGAAGCACTCGTTGAGGCTCAGGTTGTGCCTGATACTGTTCTGCCAGCCTTTCTTGTTCTTCTCATAGAAGGGGAACTTGCTGATGATGTACTGGTAAATACCGGACAGAGTCAGGCGCTTCTCCGTGCTCTCCCGGATGGCCATGGCGATGAGAGCGACATAGGAGTACGGAGGTTTCTGGGACGGATCTGGCTTCTCCGGGACTTTCTCCGGGACCTGCTCCTCTTTGGGTCTCTCCTTCTCCTTGGTCGTGTTGGTGTCGTGGATCATTAAAGCCATTGCATCATCCTCTGGGTTTTGGTAAGTGGCCATCATTGCGCACAGCAAAACAAAAACAACTCCGGTCCAAATGCTGATCCGCAGACCTCTCCAAGGTGCGTCTGTACCCCGGCAGACAGAGAGATGTTGCAGAACCCCAGGATGCACCGCGATTGAAAGTTATCTTCCAAACTGTGCGCTGAAGAATCTTTATTTTGAGGCGCAGTAGGTGTCAAACACAAGACCTCCTTCAACGGGGATTTTTCTAAACTGGTTTCTAATGGAGGCGCAACCCAAGTTGAGTTTTGCGAGTGAGTAAGCCCAGCCCTTTCCTCTTTTTTTCAGACACACTGACAGGCTCCATTGCTCCAATGCTCTCAGTGAAGCGACGTAGTGCGTCGTGATTAGTGCGCTTTTGAGTTCCGCCTCCCGTGCGCAGACACTGAAAAATGAAAAACTAATAAGCTGCTCTGATTAGCCTGAAATAGATTTCTGTTTTTGTTATCACACCCGGCTCAATAAAGCAAATTGTGGACATTTATCTGAATCCATTTTCCATGCAACAGGATCAAAGTTACGAACAAACATCCCTCACTGGAGAAATACGGATAATAATCTCCACAAAAACAGGGATTTGTTCAAACATGGATCCAATTTAAAATTAAACTGCATCAAAATGTAAATACAAACATTTTTAGTGCTTTTAAAAGAGAAAAAGAAAGAAAGAAAGAAAGACAGAAAGAAAGAAAGAAAGAAAGAGAAAGAAAGAAAGAATGAAAGAAAGAAAGGAAAATGACTGATATTTTTGTGTTTATTATATTTACATGCAGGAAGAAGATATGCTGATGTGAATTATGATATAAAACATCAGATGTCTTCCGGTATTTTCCACCTGTACCATCACCTGTTTGTCAAACTTTACGCAAACTTCTTCATGTCCTTCTCTCAGCCCTGCAGGGCTGTGAACGTCGGCACTGACAGTGCTGCTTAATGAGCTCACAGAGGGAGAGGGAAGCGCTGAAGAGGTATACATTTCTCCGGCCACCCATGAGGGTCCCCTCGGCTTTCTCCGGGAGTGTATTTCCGTGCTTTGAGAGCCTGTGCAGGTGGAACAGCATTGGCATGTGTGTCATCACCCTGCAGCCGTCTGCAGCCTGCAGGCCGCAGCAGCTGAAGCGCACAGAGAGCCAAGCATCTCTCAACGTGCAATTAGGAGGGAGCCACAGTTTCAGGCGTTACAGCTCCATGTTAGTCCTTGTTTCAATGTCTTTTTCTCATGTTGGAGACGGAAAGCATTTCCTGATAATCTCGACAGCGCCAATAAACTCCTGCTTTGAAAGTCATGGGATTAGTGACAACATGACATCATTCAGTTTGTTTAATATCAGAGAGATTTACATTAAAATACATTTATCTGGTTACACTGGGAGAAAAGTACAGAGGTATATTTACAGATTAGTAAAATCAGACATGCAAGACAGTACAGCCACAGATTTATCATGATGGCAATATGGGCATGCGCAATAAATACGTAGCAAAATTTAAACTTATCGTAATGAATAAATACTCATGATATCGTGCCATGATCACAGGTGGATGGAGGATTGAGCTGGATGGTCCTCATCAGTGCCAACCCAGTTCTGAAGAAAATCAGCATTTTGGTTTTATTATGGAGCAGAGTGATGAGAAGTGATGCCAACAGACCTTAAATGATATGATATATTCCCAATTATGCCCTCTTAATTATACCTTAATATTTAACACTTCATGGTGTTTTGCAATCAGTCTGAATAAACGATCAAAGTACATATGATATATTTCTATACTTGATTTTCATATCGTCATATTGATTTCCAAAATACAAGCATTTGCAGCATAATTTTTTCAATATCATGTAGCTCTTATTCTAAACCTTTAACTGGATTGTGTTTTATATGAATATAGGAATAGAATTTTCTATTTTCTTTAGACTGGAGGAAGAGTAACTTAAATTTGATGATTGGTTTTCTAATTAAATCCCATGTTTATTTACATGAAACACACATTAATGTAAGTATGGTGTTGGTTACCGTCTTGGTTATCGTGTTTATCCAAATGAAGACAGACACTTTACAATGTCGTCGAGTTCTTGTCCTGCGTCCTCTTTGCTGAAATAATATATGACAGAAGAATAAAAAATACGACCTTAAATAAAAACATATAACACATTGAGCAAAGTATATGAATGAACTTGATAAACTGTCTTTAGTTTTACTAATAGTTCCCTTACTTATAAAAGAATTTTGACAGGACATTTACCCGTCTGAAACACCTCCAATATTTTTAAATTACCCTTTAAAATAATTGATTTTTATAATACTTCAAGAGCAGAAACCTACCAGTAAAGCCTGTAGCTTATAAATGTAGGTTAGCCTTCAGGAGATGCTAAGTTTTAAATCGTCTATATAACGGCTTACTAATAACAATGTCACAGACTTGTGCTTAGATTAGCCTGTAAATAGAAATTCTATCAAAATTGAGATAGATTTTATAGCTAAAACCAAAGGTAAAAATGTCCTCATGCCGCACAATGTAGGTTTAATTAGCCAAACAATTAGCTAACATTAGCGCCCCATTATCAGCAGCACCTACTGACTCTGGGTCAGTTTGGTTTGGTTAATATTCCCGTCCTGTTTCAACCCCCAAACTGCCTCCTTCAAAGTTATTATTCGTGTACCCTTTACGTCTGTTTCCTTTCCTTTCTCCTCACCTGTAACATTAGCGGCTCTGAGTCGCCGCAGTCACGCGCGTCACGTCACAACAACGCTGAAGACGCACGAGGACAATCCGTAAACAAAACAATGAGCCTGAAACATGAACTGCGTTTAAGCTTCAGTGAGGCTCTGAGGAATGTTAATGTGATATTATGGCCTGTTTTTATAGCCAAGGACTTTAGTGGGCGATAAATAAACACACAAATAATATAGTCATTAAAAGAAATAACATAAACAGCCATAAAACGTGAATAATTGCTGTTATGTTCACGCTATTCTGCATCATATTAATCCTTTTCAACATTCCCCCCCCATCTCTTTCTCCTTTGGATGTTAATTTCATGTATTCCACACATTGGGGACCGCTCAGATTAAGAAGCCTAACTCTTGACTAACCTTCCCCGGGTTTTTTGCACCTCTTCATCACACCTAATCTGCATTATTTGAAGCGTAAAACCAATAAACCAACCCCGAACCACACTAGTATTTGTTAATAGTACTAAAAACTTTGTCAATTTGGATTTCCTTACAGGCGTAATTCGTAGCCCAAATAAAGTTTTGGGTAAATTACACACTGGGCCTCATACAAAATAATCTGGAGTCATTTCTGAACTGATGCTTCATATGAGAGCAGAATCAAAATAGGCGTCAGTCTCTCTTTTGAAACAGTATTCCGTTACAAGCGCATTGTTTGGCCTGTGTGTGAATGCGCAACGAGCAAGAGGTGAATGAGATGAACTTCAGAGAGCGAGCAGAGTATCACAGACATAAAAGAGTCCATGTTTGTTTTCTTGGATAAAAATCGGTCCACTGAAAGTCTATTGGGCTACCTTTGGAGTTTCACAATTTCACGTGGGCCACGCAAACACAGATCTACAAGCAAACGTTATTCATTTCAGTGATCATATCCGTATCTCCTGTAGGACCACTGCTTATGCATACATGTTAATAAATCAGAAACTAACTCTTCCGTTTCTGCTTTGCTGTTTTTCTACCATGTCCTCGCCATCAACCCTCCTGTGTGTCCTCTCTGTACTCATGGTGAGCATGCGTGTGGTAAAGCAGACTGAACGGCCATCATGGTAACGGACCATAATGTAATTTGAAAGAGTGGAATTCCTGTCCTCGCGCACTTCCTGCCCTCGCAGGTCCAGGTTTAGGATGTTTATGATAGCGCGTGCGGGTGGAATGCGGCGGACGGATCCAGCGGGTCAGGCCGGGACCGGAGAACACCCGGACTTTGGATACTTCAACCAGGCTTTGCTTATTATTATTATTATTATTATTATTATTATTATTATTATTATTATTATTATTATTATTATTATTATATTTCTGTACTAATCATATTATCATGTATCATTCGAGCCTTACATAATCAATATTCTCTTGAAGTCTTGTTTAATCAATTTGGGCATTTATGTATACGATTTAATTGCTACAGCATGTCGAGATAAGATCATTCTGATATACTGCTACATCCTTGGTTGTAATTAGTATTTGTTTTAAATGAACTAACATACTTTACATTTCACTCCCATGTATTACATTTATACCTTCATTCATAAAACTTGCATCCTTTTGCTTATATCAGTGCAGCTATAACAGACAAATTTCCCCTCAAGCATTAATACACTATTTCTCATTTTGATTAAAAATGAATAAATACTGTATCTGTTAACTTCATTTCCCCTCATTTGTTCAGATAGATAGATAGATAGATAGATAGATAGACAGATAGTGTGTAAATAATGCACTATTTCTCATTTTTATTAAAATGAATCTAAATGCTGTATCTGTTAACATCATTTTAAAACTTGCTCATCATGCACCATTATTCTCTTTTTTTTAAATCATAACTTTAAAGGTAATTACTCATAGTGTTCGCAGCCATATCTGCATTGCAGCAACTTAAAAAAAACCCAGGTTAAATTATTAAAGATGCCTGCAATGCTTTATTATGCGGTTTAAATAGTGCTGCTTAATTAAAAAATCACAAGTAAAAACACATTTAAACTCCCTTTATCATATAATTACAAAATAGATAACCTTTTATACAGTTGCTGCAAATAAGCTATAACTGCTATACTATGTTGTGTTTCAATTTTGTCTATGAATAATGTATCTAGGAAATTAACTTTAAGTGATAAAATAGGTTTGTTAAAATTTTTTATGTAATTTTAATGGCGTAATTACTTTGATAATGAAGTGTGTCTTTTCTGTGGTTTGTTAATTTATTCAAGTTAAAGGGCTTGGTGGGTATAAAAGTGCAAAAGTGGGTTTTTCAAAAGGTTGTTTTATTAG